GTTGTTTAATCGAGACTTCGACGACTTACGTTTGTTTTCCACTTGGATGCACACTTAAGTGTTGTTGTTCATAGTGATGATGTCCTTGAATTTGCATTTCCTCTTGTGTTTTGCATCTTTATTTCTTGCATTAATAAAGGTCGAGATGTGCTTGTGGAGGGATTTACCCCACACTTTTTCCTCCCTTTTTTGCTTGTGTGTTGCATTTCGTGTTTGCATCTTTCACTTATGATTGAATTTATCTAGTGCTTTCTTGTGCTTTTTGCCATGATCCCCATAAGGCTCCTAGTCCCTCCGTTTAGGATGGGAGTAAGAGAGACATTAGGTGTTCAATCCAAGCATGCTAACATTAAGATAGATGTTTCTCCTTTTAATCCAAACCTTAGGACCACTTTACATGACAACGTTAGGGCCGAGCTTCCCTTAGACCTTTCGTGCGTCTCTCTTCTCATCTCAAAATCATTCTAACTCATCTAATAAATACGATGAACATTGTGCGTTACGAGACTTAAGCCACTTGGGAAATGGTGATTGGGGGGCTTCCTCTCAATGGCCTAGAGTGTTTAGTATACATTCTTTGGGTGATATGCGACGCATTCGCTCCTAAGTCATAGTCTTTAGTGCAACGTGAATCACAAATCAAATTAATTCACTTCACTAAAAAACACAAATAGGCATCGTCCCTAACTGCTGGAACGGAGGTTTAACCCTACTCGGGTAAAACACTTTGAACCATCCGGCGTTCGTGTCAGCCCGAACTACGTTTGCTCTGATTTCTCATATCAGATGAGAATACGTAGGCACGAGACGACGATGTCTCGGCGAGCAACCTTCCCCCTTTATTCTTGTAGTTAGCCGAACTACGTTGACTCTGACTTTCCCATTGCACGAGGGAATACATAGGCACAGAGCGGCGATGCTCTATCGAGTCTCTTTTCTTTTCTTTTTGTCCGGTGAGCCTGTAGCTAGATAGTTTAAAAACACCCTTAGATAGACAACAAGCGTGGATCCCGTCGAGTACGACGGACGTGAGGGGTGCTCATACCTTCACCTTGCGTAACCGACTCCCGAATCCAGGACTTAGTTGCGATGACCTCGTCTTTTCCCTTTTTCGTTAGATTTTTCCGATCGTTTCCTTTCCCTCTCTTTGGGATAAATAACGAAATGTGGCGACTCTTCTGTTTTTCGTCGGGTGTTTTTCGCAGTTGCGACAGTACCCTTGAGTTTATTTGCAATGCCTTTAATTCTTCGATTCTTAATGATTATGATTAAAACTCAGATTTCCATATTAACTTCATATTCACATTTGAAACTATTCTTGAATTTTCTCCTGAAAGAATAACACCTTGAGTCGGTCCTTGAGAACTAAAAGCTACCATGAATCAACCTTGGAATTTTGAATTTAAAACCTTGAGTCAATTCTTAAGAAACGAGTCAAACATGAATCCATCGCAAATCAATCTTGAACTTGAATATATTTGATCACTGAATGAAAGTAACTCTTAAATTAACCTTGAACTGGGACCTTGAATAAATGAATCCAATAAATCAAACCCTTCATAATGAATCAAATGAGCAAGAAAATGCCTTGAAATAAAAGGAACATGATTTAAAATATGAATTATACTGTCTAAGACCCTGACTGCAAAAGCACAGATCTCTAATATGAAACTCTTGCTTTTAGCACAACCTGATAACTTGATCCATACACAAATAACTTGAATTGGTAAAAAAAAACCTAATTAATGCCTTAGACACACATCCATTAAATTGTGTACACCTTAGTGTTGATCATGAAACAAACCCTTGACTGGCTAAAATTAGGTCAAAACAAATGAACCTCAGTCAATATTTACATACACACCTAACCTGATATCTTCAACTGAAACTTGGATTTAGGAAATAAGAAAAATTAAAGTGGAAGCAACATATTTTGAATTTTTGAATAATGGTTAGTGGATGGATATACAAGTGAAAGTAATATACATGTAGGACAAATTTGGGTTATGACAATTATCTTCTAAATTAATTTGAATGTTTGTATATGTTTATTGAGGGGTAAGGAAAAATAAACAATCCACATATTTTATAATAAACACATATACATACCACCATGATTAGAATATATAACTTTGGTGAAATGTTTATATCGCACTTAAATTAAATTGCTGCTGTCAGGTTTCGAACCCATGGACTATATATATGACAATGATTATTCATTGTAACCGTTGTGATAAGTAGCGTGCTATCTAGTTTATGATTATGGTCAGACACCCGTGGTGAAAAACTGCATATTTACAACCACAACCTACCTTACTACAGTTGGTTAACCGTCATGGTATGCCTTTTTCAACCGTGGTGAAAAGGTCTCTACGTTGTACTGATACCAAGTATTTTAAAAATATATTTTCATGTTAAAAGACATTTTAAAAAAAATTAAAATATTAGAGATTGATATATCTGTCACTAAAAGAAGTCACTAAAGCAGTCTTAAAGTCGACCGCTAATTTTCATTCATTGATTTCGTCGTAGTCACTTTATCAATCTCTAAACTATATAATGATCAATTTTTTTAAACTTTTTCTTTCTCTAATTCGAACACTAAAGACAAAATTATGAATTCTTAAACTATCAATAAACTTAATAATTAACTAAAAAACAAACGAATGAGAACTAAATAAAATAAATTAACATTTTGCACTACTAGAAATTTTTCTACCTAATGTAACATATGATATTACCTTCGTCATTAAGGAAAATGTAGTAAGAGCTCTTAATTAGGTGTCTGGAAAATTTTTTTTTTATTAGTAAGACATTTCACTATGATCTATATTAGTAACTGTAGTGATATGTTAATGCATACATGTTTTGAAACACAACACCAATAATTTATTTATTTATTTTTTGATTATAAAATAAACATGTCATTTATAATTATAATATTTATAAAATACCTTTCACCACAGTCTATAATATCAACCGTTGTGAAATGTACATGCATGTTATTATGGTCTTTCATATCAAGCATGGTGAAAAGTATAACATATATTTTAGCGAAAATCCTCTCATTCATGACAGAAGACATTTGTCTCTCTCAAAACAAAACCCTAACACTCTCTCATGTCTCATCCTAATTCCATGAATTGTTGCATACCACTTATTCAAAAAATTCTAATATATCTTCTTCATCTCTTATGGACCAAGGAAAGGTGATTTACGAAACACATTTGTTTCACTTTCTCGTCACTATTCAGGTACGTGAGACATTTCAACATTTTTTGTTGATATATATATATATATATATATATATATATATATATATATATATATATATATATATATATATATATATATATATATATATATATAAAAGGTATGTTGATGTTTATAAAAATTGCATGTTGTTTAATTTGTATGCTGTTTATGGTAATGTTAAAGTTATATCTTTTGTGTTGTATGTTCTTTAAGATATGTTGTTGATAAAAGTTGCATGTTGTATATTGTTGATGATTTTGTTTTTGTTGATATATGTTGTATGTTGTTGTTGTTGATAAAAATTATATGTTTTTATGTTGTTGTTAATTTATTTTGTTCGCAATAAAAGTTGTATGATGTACGTTGTTTAAGGTATGTTGTTGATGGTTTTGTTTTTGTTAATAAAAGTTGTATGTTTTTTATGATTTGTTGTTGATGTATATTTTTGGTAAGGTTTGTTAAATGATATATATATATATATATATATATATATATATATATATATATATATATATATATATATATATATATATATATATATATATATATATATATATATATATATATATATATTATGTTCAGTTAACATGTAATAAAAGATAAGTTTATTACATTTTATGTGGTTTGAATATTTTTCCAATCTCTTACTGAACATATAAACTTCCGAATTGAATTAGAAAATTATAATATAAGATACTAAGTTATATTAGAAAACAAATTATACTAATCAATGTTATACAGGATTTCTGTAGTTCGTTTTTTGCATTTTGCTCTTTAACCATTAGAATCTTTTCTAATGCTTCTAGTTCTTCAACTACTCATTCTTTCACCTATAATTTTGTTTGCAAAGTCAATAATACTTTTTAAAATAAACTAGAGGTTAAGGAAGATTTCGTTAAAAAGCTGGAAGCATTGAAACAAGTTCATAAATATTATTTAAATATAATTAAAATAAAAGTTAAATATTTTTATTTTGTCGCTTCCAGGATATCAGATAAAATTGAAACAACATAGAAAAGATTAGCATGGCTCTTGCGAATGGATGACACACACAATCGAAAATTGGTCCAAAAAAGTTAAATATCTTACATAGTATTATTTTCATTTTCATAAAGTGAAATTTCTAAGCCCGTCATAGAAACTAGTATTTTCTTTTGACTCACATTCACACAGACTCTATTTTTCGAAAGAAAATATAATATATTTTATTCACAAATACAAGACTATTTAATTCCCTTTTCGTTTTCCTTTTTATTATTATATACTCCTAATAATAACAAATGATGAATTTGTAAAAATAATAAATAATCAGTTCTTTAATACAATACATATAGTTTTAGAATATTTTATTCTAGAATTGATACTATTCATTACTTCTAAGTCAATATTTTATATCTGGAAAAAAAAGGTAAATATTTCATACTAAATTAAAAAAGAAAAACTACGCCGACACACAATAATTAATACATACACTGTATTTTCTCTTTATTAAATACTATGAATTTATATTTTATTTTTTTATTTACTAATATTTGCTTATAGAAAAATAACTAAAATGTGTATTTTAATATCTCTTTATTAAATGACACGAAAAGAATATTATTATGACCCTTTTATTAGAAAAGTAGAGTATACGTCTTGTGAGAAAAGTAGAGTATACGTATACGTCGATATAAATAGAGGGCAAGGTTCTACAAAGAAAATCACAATAAAGTATCAAACCTCATTGTTGTAATATCAAAACCATGGGGAAATCATCTTTTCTCTTGACAATACTAACAGTTGTGGTGTCTATTTCAACTACAGTATCAAAATCACCCATTCAAAATTTTCTCAATTGTTTTTCAAATAATTCTCATGTGGCTGAAGTCATTTACACACCAAACAACACCTCATTTTCAACCATCCTCAACAAGAGGATACATAACATGAGATTTAAAACAACAACAACACCAAAACCTTTGGCAATTATAACGCCAAAAGATGCTTGGCATGTACAAGCAACAGTTAAATGTGCCAAAAGTAGCAACATTCAAATCAGAATCCGAAGTGGAGGACATGATTATGACGGTTACTCATATGTATCGGATGTGCCTTTTGTTTTACTTGACGTATTTCATCTCAATTCAGTTGATGTTAATGTGCGAGAAGAAACAGCATGGGTTGAATCAGGTGCAACAAATGGTAAGATTTATTATAACATTGCAAAGAAAAGTAATTCTCTTGCTTTCCCAGCCGGGGTTTGTTTTTCTTTAGGTTCTGGTGGTCATTATTCTGGTGGTGGATACGGAAATTTGATGAGAAAATATGGTCTTTCTATTGATAATATCATTGATGCAAAAATTGTTGATGCCAACGGAAAAATCCTTGATAGAAAATCAATGGGAGAAGATCTTTTCTGGGCTATAAGAGGTGGTGGTGGGGCAAGTTTTGGTGTTATTCTTTCATGGAAACTCAAATTGGTTCATGTACCTACACAAGTTACAGTTTTTAAAGTGAAAAGAAAGATGGATGAAGGTGCAGCCGATGTTGTTTTCAAATGGCAATCAATTGCACCAAAATTAGATAAAGATCTTTTCATTAGAGTGCAACATGACGTTGTTCCAATTGGTAAAACCGGTAAAAAGACAGTGCAAGTTAGTTTCATTGGTCAATTTTTGGGAACAATTGAAAGGCTTTTACCTTTGGTGAGTACTAGTTTCCCTGAATTAGGTTTGAAGAAAAGTGATTGCATTTCAATGCCTTGGGTTAATAGCACTCTTTTTTGGTATTTCAGACCAATTGGTACTCCACTTGAAGCATTATTGGATGAACCAAAAGAATCTGAAACATTATATTTTAAAGGTAAATCAGATTACGTGAAGAAACCTATTCCAAAGGAAACAATAGAATCTCTATGGAAATTGATGATTGAAGGTGAAGAGATTATGTTTATGCAATGGAATCCTTATGGCGGAAGAATGGAGGAGATATTGCCATCAGACACACCATTTCCCCATAGAGTAGGAAATTTGTTCATGATTGGGTATTATCATAATTGGGTTAACGGATCTCGCGAGGATATTGAAAGTCATTTGAAATTTTCAAATTCAGTCCATGAATTCATGAAACCCTATGTCTCGAATTCCCCGAGGGAGGCATTCCTAAACTATAGGGACGCTGATATAGGTGCCAATCATCCAAGTAATACAACGAAAATTGACATTGCTAGAACTTACGGAAATAGTTATTTCAAAGGAAATTTTAAAAGATTAGTGAATGTGAAAATAAAGGTTGATCCAGAGAACTTTTTCAGATATGAACAAAGTATACCCACTAGGACATAGTAAAATGATAAGATGTAGTGTTCGGTTCTTCCAAATAGTTGTGTAAAAAAGAGTTCCAAAGAAATAAATGCAGTTATAAAAATTCTTATTAAGTTTAGATATTTTACATATCTTTCTTTTATTTATAATAATAAAAACTCTTAGTGCATTGTTTTAGTTTCATTATTAAGTTTTATTATTTCAGTTATTTTTATGCTAAATTATTTAGTCAATATATGAATTTTGTCAAATTTTTTAATAAGATAAATCAAACAGTTAGGTCAAGGAAAGAAGTATGTCTTAAAATTTTTATGTGATGATGAGAATGAAAATATATTTTAAGATTATCAAAAATTAAAAAACTGAAAAGAAGATTGGTATGAGGGTTCATTAATATCAGGTTTGGTAAGTTCTATTTGTGGATTCGTTAATTAATATTAAAATATTTTTATATTAATTTAGAGATACTCTAAGATACTCTCAATTAATATAAAGATATTGTAAAATATTTATAATATTTTAAATTAATATAAAATATTTTATAATATATTTATTATATTCTTTTTTATATAAAAGATAATATAAGATATTTACAATATTCTAAACTAGTACAATATATATTATAAGATATTTATAATAATTTTTCTCTAACAATTAATGGGTTATAGTATGGACCTATTAATGATCTGTTGGATTTTTGTCTCTATTTTTAAAAACTTTTATCTCATACCCCTTCATCAATTATTCTTTTACTCCGACATTATATTCCTTTTGAGAGATAGTGGTAGAAATTAGAGAGATAGTGGTAGAAATTCTTGAGATTTTTTGGAATGTGGAAAAACTTTGAAGGCATATAAGGGGATTGGGAAACACTTATAAACATATTACGATTGTATTCATATATTCAGAGTTGGAGAGTCGCTCTCTCCCACGTAGTGAGTTAATTGATTGAACTAGGTAAACAAGTTTATGTCTTCTTGTCTTTTATCTTCTTATGACTTGTTGTGATTTTGTTTTCAGTTTTGGCAGGTTATTGTATTGCTTTAGGCCATTTATCTTGGTTGTCATTGTTCTTGGTCCCTACACATCAAGTTTCTTGGCGTGTTTGAACTACGAATAATTCTTCTTAATTGCAAAAATATTATTCTACTAGTTTTTTATACAATATGTTGCACCCACTTAGGGGCAAAGGATTATTGATTACAAGTGAGCACCATGGGTAAATGGGAGATCGAGATGTTTTCCAGAGACAACTATTTTAAATTATGGAAGCTAGAGATATAAGAAACCTTAACTTAAGAGAAGTGTATTGAAGTATTGAAAGGTGAGATGTCGATTTCTGCATTCCTAACATGAGCAGAGAAGATCGAGATGGTGAATAATACCAAAAGTGAAATTATCTTATGCAGAGAAGATAGAGATAAGGGAAGTCACTAGGGAGAAGATTATGACTTTAATGGGGAGAAAACTTGAACCATTGTAATATGTCCAAGATTTTGGCTCACAAGTTGTGTCTGAAATAACAACCTTATTCATTCCAAATGATATGGGACAAATCCATAGTGATCAATTGACAGAATTTCACAAGATTGTTGATTATCTTGAGAATATTCAAGTGAAGATTAAATATAAGGACAAGGATCATGAAATAAGGAAACCCTTATTTATGTTAAGGAATGTACTATTATTTTCGAGGATGTCCAGACAGCTATAAGATCTAAAGAATTGCAAAGGTGAAAGATTTGAAGATTGATGATAGTGGTAAAGGCTTGAGTGTCTCAAGAGAAGGAAGTGACCATAAAGGGATGTCCAAATTAAAGAGATTTGACTAGTCAAAGATAAAATATTTTACTTGTCCGAAACCACGTCACTTCATGAGGGATTGTTCTGAGATGAGGGGGCAATGATTATTTTGTTTATATTGCGGTTGCCTCATATAAGGATAGTTATGACAGTGTTGATGCATTAGCATTGTCGAGTTTGGAGACTAAAAAGACTTAGGTCATATAATCGGATTCCTCTTTCCTAATGTGTTCAAAGAAAAATACTTTGAGACTTTGATGTTAGTAAGGTATAATAGGTCTCCTTGGTGACAATAAGACTTGGATGGTTTATGATATTGGTATGACGAGACTTAAAATGTTCGATGATTGTAATTTTTTTCTTCAGAACTTGAGGTATGTTCTAGAACTTAAGAAGAAGAAAATTATCCATAAGAATGTTTGGTGATCTAGGATATTGAAATATTGTTGAACACAAGGTGTTGAATATTTCAGATGGTGAAGTTATCATAACTAATGGCTCTTAAATATGTGGTTTATATATTTTAAAATGTTCCAACGTTGTTGCTTATTCATTATCAACTAGTAAAGACTTTGATGACAAGAACAAGCTATGGGATTTGAGGTCAAGGAATGATGGATTCATGGATGTTGTTTCAGAGCACTTAAATGAGTTTTGTAGAAGACATGGGATAAAAATGAATGTTACTGTTGAGTTCTCATTGAGTTTCTAGGGTAATTTTGGTGCCAAAGCAACATATTGGCCAAAAAATTTTATTTATAAGAATAAACTTCTAAAAACATATGGTAGTTTGTAGTTGGAAATCTAAAAAATTACTCTTATTTGAAGGTTGCAAGAACTTTTCTTATTGATCAAATTAAACCCAATTATCTTGATGATAAAATTTTGGATTGTGTTTTCAATGGCTATCTAAGAGGAGACAATGTTTATGAGCTAAGGGGAATGGAACCTAGAGGATCGAAGTTCATCGATTGCAGATGTATTCATTTTAGTTAGTCCCGTTAGGGAAGAAACGTAAATACACAGGGATAAACCTTTTACAAACTACAATGTAAAAGACTCTGTTTAAGATAGAGTTTCCTTCTATAGATACTATTAGTAGTGAGGGAATGATTAAAAAGATCTCTAATTAGCATTTGACTCATGATAAGGTAAGGAAGAATATTGTACCATCTCAACGGGACAATTATGTTGACCTATGGAATTATGCTTTGAATGTGACTGAGGAGTTGAAAAACTCTGAAACAAAGACTTTCATAGAGGAAATCGAAAGCAAAAAGGGTCCAAGTTGGTTGAATAACAATGCTTATGGGGTTGTTAGACTACACAAGCAGAAAAATATGACTGAAAGAAATTAGATGCAAGTGAAAAGATCAAGGTTCAAGTGCTTGATGGACTTATCCTCCACTTGGAAAGTCATTTGTGTCCTCATCATCTCCATGTCACCAAATATTTATTACTACTGATAGAGACATGAGATTGATTCTTGATCCCAAGTTGATAAGTGTTTTCCCTACACTAACAATCTTCATCATAACAAATAATGTTAATCTTCCTGGGTCAGCTTCTTTCTATGACAGTGTCTGTTGGATGATTGCACTTTAACTAGCTTCCAATTGATGGTGTCTTTGTCAATGTACTAGGTTTTTTGGTGAGGATTTCTGTCATGAATTTTGCATATACACGCGTTTTCTCCAAAGCTTATGCAAATGGGTTGCGAAGGTAAGGTAACGTCCTGATTGACACATCTATTTATTTTGTTTTTTTAAATTTTTCCCTTATTTTTTTCCTTTTCTATTATTTTAATTATTCTTTTGCTCTCCATTTATGTTTTTTTCTTTCTTACTCCTCTTTCTCTTTTTCTTCTTTGTTGTTACCTCGGCCAATTTTGGTAGTGATAGCCTTGCATTGTTCTTTTTTCAAATCCACTATTTTGCTCATCTGATTTCCAATGTGAGTCGTGAGTTGTTTAATGGATGTCTCTGTATTTTTTTAAATGTTGTTGCTGTCAGAAATTGCATGAGTGTCTATCATAAAGTTATTTTGTTTTAAAGAGATGATTGACTTGGTTGAAATTATTTATTGGTATTGGATTGGTGGAGATTGATATTTTAATATAGCCATGGCTTCTAGTAACTCACATAGTTGACTTCCTCTTTATTGGTAAATAAAATCTGGTTAGATGATCACCCATGCATAGTTCACAGAGTGCAAACTGCCTTAGTGATGTTTCGTATATCTCTTTTAGCTCTTGTGGCATTCTTGATAGTGTCTTGTTATTCATCCACCATTTGTGTTAACAACTTGTTTTGATTGAGAAGAACATTATTGGCATTCAACTCTTCATTTTAAGGCACGCTTCTCTTGTATCTAACTTGGTGATTGCCGAGTCTCATTCTTTCAATGATATTTGGTGCATCTTTTGTGCTTTTGGACATCAAAGAACCTCCGATATGATTTGTATCAGCGTGAGTTCGTAAAAATTATGGTTTGGACATTGTTTCAGCATGGACTTGTATATTTCCCATGCCTTACAGAGTGTTTCTATTACGCCTTGGGAAAACCTGTGATGGGAGTCTTTGCTTCCTTAAATTTTTTATGAGTAAAGAATTTGTTCATGAATATTTCCTCTATCATGCTACAATTTGTCATCATCGATGTGGGTTGATCTAGATAGCACTCATTTGTTTTGTCAATCAGTGAGTGTGGAAATAACCGTAGGGATACCGCTTTTTCCTCATCTTTTGATGCTCCTCGAGTACCAGCAATCTCATAGAATTTTTTGAGGTATGTATATGGGTCTTCATGATCTAAACCTGCAAAAGGGTTGCATACAAATTTTTTAACAATCATATTCTTATTCACTTTTTCAAACATTCCTTTAAGTTCTAGCTAAATTAGCTAGACATCTTGGACTATGTTCACGCAGTGTGCCAACATTGTTGTTTCCATTTTTGTTGTTTACTTCAACCATTGTTCTTTGTTGTGGTGAGATATTAGAATCTTATAAACCTGGCACTACTTTTCTTAGTTTCTTTTTCTTGTATTCACTAAATTTTCTGCGTACGATTCTTTTGATTTCATGATAGAATATGAGTTGTTCAATAAGAACCTTATCTCGCATGAACTAAACAAATAAATCTACTTCTAAAAGTTAATATGTTAGGCATTATAAATAAAATATATAGACTATACAGTTATACACAAATATATACATA